GGTCACCTGAGACCACCTGGGACCACCTGTGGTCACCTGTGGTCATCTGGGGTCACATGGGTCACCTGGAGTGACCACGGGTCACCTGAGACCACCTGGGGTCACCTGGGACCACCACAGGTCACCTGAGACCACCCGTGGTCACCTGTGGTCACCTGTGGTCACCTGGAGTGACCATGGGTCACCTGAGACCACCTGGGGTCACCTGGGGTCACCCGGGGTCACCTGAGACCACCTGGGACCACCACAGGTCACCTGAGACCACTTGGGACCACCCGTGGTCACCCGTGGTCATCTGGGGTCACCTGGGTCACCTGGAGTGACCACGGGTCACCTGAGACCACCTGGGGTCACCTGGGACCACCTGGAGTGACCACGGGTCACCTGAGACCACCTGGGGTCACCTGGGACCACCTGGAGTGACCACGGGTCACCTGAGACCACCTGGGACCACCACAGGTCACCTGAGACCACTTGGGACCACCTGTGGTCACCTGAGACCACCTGAAGTGACCACAGGTCATCTGAGACCACCTGGGGTCACCTGGAACTACCGTGGGTCACTTGGGGTCACCTGGGGTCACCTGGAGGGACCTGGGGTCACCTGAGACCACCTGGGGTCACCTGGGACCACCACAGGTCACCTGGGGTCACCTGAGATCACCTGGGGTCACCATGGGTCACCTGAGACCACCTGGGACTACCTGTGGTCACCTGTGGTCACCTGGGTCACCTGGAGTGACCATGGGTCACCTGAGACCACCTGGGGTCACCTGGGACCACCTGGAGTGACCACGGGTCACCTGAGACCACTTGGGACCACCTGGGGTCACCTGTGGTCACCTAGAGTGACCTGAGGTCACCTAGGACCACCTGGAGTGACCATGGGTCACCTGAGACCACCTGGGGTCACCTGGAACTACCATAGGTCACCTGGGGTCACCTGAGACCACCTGGGACCACCTGAGGTCACCTGGGACCACCTGGGGTCACCTCAGACCACCTGGGACCACCTGTGGTCACCACGTCCAGCCCGTCCGGCTTCTGGTCTGGGGGGGGCCACAGGGGTCACCTGGGGTCACCTGAGCTCACCTGGGGTCACCTGAGACCCCCAAATGACCTTTGATGACCCCAAATCACCCCAAAACGCTCCCCAGGTGAGTTTTCCCCCCCCCCAGGTGAGTTTTCCCCCCCCCAGGTGTGCCCAGGTGAGCTCACCTGAGGTGACCCATCGCGACGCCGCCCTTGGCACGACGTCCACCAGGGCCTTGTGTGTTGACCCCAAAACGCCCCCAAATCACCCCAAAACACCCCCAGGTGCCATTTTTTTGCCCCCCAGGTGCCATTTTTCCTCCCCCAGGTGCGCCCAGGTGAGCTCACCTGAGGTGAGCATCATGATGCTGGAGTCGGCCTCGGGGGGGCAGGACGTCCCCCAGGGCCTTGTGTGTTGACCCCAAATGCCCCAAAACGCCCCCAAATCACCCCAAAACGCCCCCCAGGCGAGTTTTTCCCCCCCCAGGTGTGCCCAGGTGACCTCACCTGAGGTGACCCATCACGACGCCGCCCTTGGCACGACGTCCCCCAGGGCATCAAGAGATGACCCCAAATGACCTTTGATGACCCCAAAATGACCCCCAAGGTGACATCTTACCCTCCAGGTGTGCCCCAGGTGTGCCCAGGTGAGCTCACCTGAGGTGACCCATCGCGACGCCGCCCTTGGCACGACATCCCCCAGGGCATCAAGGGATGACCCCAAATGCCCCCAGAACGCCCCCAGGTGCCATTTTTTTGCCCCCCAGGTGCCATTTTTCCCCCCCCAGGTGTGCCCAGGTGAGCTCACCTGAGGTGACCATCACGATGCTGGAGTCGGCCTCGGGGGGGGCAGGACGTCCCCCAGGGCCTTGTGTGTTGACCCCAAATGACCTTTGATGACCCCAAATCGCCCCGAAACGCCCCCAGGTGCCATTTTTCCCCCCCCCAGGTGTGCCCAGGTGAGCTCACCTGAGGTGACCATCACGATACCGGAGTCGGCCTCGGGGGGGCAGGACGTCCCCCAGGGCATCAAGGGATGACCCCAAATGCCCCAAAACGCCCCCAAATCACCCCCCAGGTGAGTTTTTCCCCCCCCAGGTGAGTTTTTGCCCCCCAGGTGTGCCCAGGTGAGCTCACCTGAGGTGACCCATCGCGACGCCGCCCGTGGCAGGACGTCCCCCAGGGCATCAAGGGATGACCCCAAATGCCCCAAAACGCCCCCAAATCACCCCCCAGGTGAGTTTTTCCCCCCCCAGGTGAGTTTTTGCCCCCCAGGTGAGCTCACCTGAGGTGAGCATCATGATGCTGGAGTCGGCCTCGGGGGGCAGGACGTCCACCAGGGCGTTGCTGTGCTTGTGCAGGGCCACCGAGGCGTTGGGCTTCAGCAGCTCCCGGTCGATCGTGCTCAGGATCCGCACGTAGTAGTTGGAACCTGGATTCCCCCAAAAAAACCAACCAGGTGAGTCCCAGGTGTGCCCCCAGGTGTGTGATGTCAGCCCCAGGTGTGCCCCCGGGGGTTCGCGTTGGGCTTCAGCAGCTCCCGGTCGATCGTGCTCAGGATCCGCACGTAGTAGTTGGAACCTGGATTCCCAAAAAACCAACCAGGTGTGCCCAGGTGTGCCCAGGTGTGCCCAGGTGTGTCCTAGGTATGGCCCAGGTGTCCCCAGGTGTGTCCCAGTGGGTCCAAAGTGTGTCCAAAGTGTGTCCCAGGTGTGTCCCCAGATATGTTCTAGGTATCCCCAGGTGTGTCCTAGGTATGGCCCAGGTGTCCCCAGGTGTGTCCTCCTGTCCCCAGGTGTGTCCCAGTGGGTCCAAAGTGTACCCAGGTGTATCCAGGTGTACCCAGGTGTGCCCAGGTGTGCCCCAGGTGCCCCCAGGTGTGCCCAGGTGTGTCCCCAGGTACATCCTAATGTCCTCCAGGTGTCCCCAGTTGTGTCCCAGTGGGTCCAAAGTGTACCCAGGTGTGCCCAGGTGTCCCCAGGTGTGTCCCCAGGTATGTCCCAACGTCCTCCAGGTGTCCCCAGCTGTGTCCCAGTGGGTCCAAAGTGTACCCAGGTGTACCCAGGTGTTTCCAGGTGTGTCCCAGGTGTCTCCAGGTGTGTCCCAGTGGGTCCAAAGTGTAACCAGGTGTATCCAGGTGTGCCCAGGTGTGTCCCCAGGTACGTCCCACGTCCTCCAGCTGTCCCCAGCCGTGTCCCAGCGGGTCCAAAGTGTTCCCAGGTGCCCTCAGGTGCCCCCAGGTGTGTCCCACCACCCCCAGGTGTGCCCAGGTGCGCCCAGGTGTACCCAGGTGCCCCCAGGTGCGCCCAGGTGACCCCCTCACCTGTGGTGGAGCCGACGATGGCCGTGTTCTGGTCGACGGCCTCGAGGAACTGGCCGATGACGAGGGGGATGCTCTGGATGCGCTTCACCTCCTCCTGGGCGTGCAGGAACTCCTTCTTCAGGTTCCGCTGCTCGTCCTTGATGTACTCCTCCTGCACCTCCAGGAACTCCAGCTCCTGCTGCAGCTTCTGGGGGGCGACAGGTGGGAACAGGTGTGACCAGGGGTGACCAGGTGTGACCAGGTGTGACCAGGTATCACCTNTGTCCCAGGTGTGTTCCAGGTGTGTCCAGGTATGTCCTAGATATCCCCAGGTATGTCCCAGGTGTGTTCCAGGTGTGTTCTGGTGTCCCCCAGGTGTGCCCAGGTATCCCCAGGTGTGTCCCAGGTGTCCCCAAGTGTGTCCCAAATGTCCCCAGGTGTGTCCCAGGTGTGCCCAGGTATGTCCTAGATGACCCCAGGTATGTCCTAGGTATGTCCCAGGTGTCCCCAGGTGTGTCCTCCTGTCCCCAGGTGTGTCCCAGTGTGTCCAAAGTGTGTCCCAGGTGTGTCCAAAGTGTGCCCAGGTATCCCCAGGTATGTCCCAGGTGTCCCCAGGTCTGTCCAAAGTGTGTCCCAGGTGTGTCCAGGTGTGTTCTCAGATGTCCCCAGGTGTGATCCAGGTGTGTCCAAGGTGTGCCCTGGTATCCCCAGGTGTGCCCCTGACGTGTCCCAGTGTGTCCCAGGTGAGTCCCAGGTGTGTCCTGGTGTCCCCAGGTATCCCCAGGTGTGCCCCAGGTGAGTCCCAGGTGTGCCCCCAGGTGTGTGATGTCAGCCCCAGGTGTGTCCCAGGTGTGCCCCCAGGTGTGTGATGTCAGCCCCAGGTGTGCCCCCAGGTGTTCGTGTTGGGCTTCAGCAGCTCCCGGTCGATCGTGCTCAGGATCCGCACGTAGTAGTTGGAACCTGGATTCCCCCAAAAAAACCAACCAGGTGAGTCCCAGGTATGTCCCAGGTGTGCCCAGGTATGTCCCAGGTGTGCCCAGGTATGTCCTAGGTATGGCCCAGGTGTCCCCAGGTGTGTCCTCCTGTCCCCAGGTGTGTCCCAGTGTGTCCAAAGTGTGTCCCAGGTGTGTTCCAGGTGTGCCCAGGTGTGCCCCAGGTGTGTCCCCAGATATGTTCTAGGTATCCCCAGGTGTGTCCCAGGTATGCTCCAGGTGTGTCCCGGTGTGCCCAGGTGTGTTCTCAGATGTCCCCAGGTGTGTTCCAGGTGTGTCCACGTATCCCCAGGTGTGTCCCAGGTGTCCCCAAGTGTGTCCCAAATGTCCCCAAGTGTGTCCCAGGTGTGTCCAGGTGTGTCCTAGATGTCCCCAGGTGTGTCCTAGGTATGGCCCAGGTGTCCCCAGGTGTGTCCAAAGTGTGTCCCAGGTGTGTTCCAGGTGTGTTCTGGTGTCCCCCAGGTGTGCCCAGGTATCCCCAGGTGTGTCCCAGGTGTGCCCAGGTGCGTCCAAGGTGTGCCCAAGTGTGTTCTCAGATGTCCCCAGGTATGTCCCAGATATCCCCAGGTATGTCCTAGGTATGTCCCAGGTGTCCCCAGGTGTGTCCTCCTGTCCCCAGGTGTGTCCCAGTGGGTCCAAAGTGTGTCCCAGGTGTGTGTCCCAGGTGTGTCCCACCACCCCCAGGTGCCCCCAGGTGTGACAAGGTGTGTCCCCAGGTACGTCCCACGTCCTCCAGGTGTCCCCAGCCGTGTCCCAGTGGGTCCAAAGTGTACCCAGGTGTGCCCAGGTGTGTCCCCAGCTATGTCCCACGTCCTCCAGGTGTCCCCAGGTGTATCCCAGCGGGTCCAAAGTGTCCCCAGGTGTATCCAGGTGTGCCCAGGTATGTCCCACGTCCTCCAGGTGTCCCCAGCTGTGTCCCAGTGGGTCCAAAGTGTACCCAGGTGTATCAAGGTGTGCCCAGGTGCACTCAGGTGTATCCAGGTGCCCCCAGGTGTCTCCAGCTGTACCCAGGTGTGCCCAGGTGTACCCAGGTACCCCCAGGTGTGCCCAGGTGCCCCCAGGTGTCTCCAGGTGTACCCAGGTGTGCCCAGGTGTACCCAGGTGCCCCCAGGTGTCTCCAGGTGTGCCCAGGTGTACCCAGGTGTTTCCAGGTGTGTCCCAGGTGTATCCAGGTGTGCCCAGGTGTGTCCCCAGCTATGTCCCACGTCCTCCAGGTGTCCCCAGGTGTGTCCTCCTGTCCCCAGCTGTGTCCCAGTGGGTCCAAAGTGTACCCAGGTGCCCCCAGGTGCGCCCAGGTGACCCCCTCACCTGTGGTGGAGCCGACGATGGCCGTGTTCTGGTCGACGGCCTCGAGGAACCGCCCCATGACCAGGAGAACCTTCCAGATCCGTGTCCTCCCGTACCCCCCATGTCCATCCCACACCTCCCAGGTGTGCCCAGGTGTGTCCCCAGGTGTGTCCCTGCCCATGTTCTGCTCCAGGAGCTGCCCCACGACCGGGAGAACCTTCCAGATCCGTGTCCCCAGTGTCCATCCCACGCCTCCCAGGTGTGTCCCACCACCCCCAGGTGTGCCCAGGTGTGCCCAGGTGTGCCCAGGTGTGTCCCCAGCTACGTCCTAATGTCTTCCAGGTGTCCCCAGGTGTGTCCCAGTGGGTCCAAACTGTACCCAGGGGTATCCAGGTGTACCCAGGTGTACCCAGGTGTGCCCAGGTGTACCCAGGTGTCTCCAGGTGTGCCCAGGTGTCTCCAGGTGTGCCCAGGTGTGTCCCCAGGTACGTCCCAATGTCCTCCAGGTGTCCCCAGCCGTGTCCCAGTGGGTCCAAAGTGTACCCAGGTGTGCCCAGGTGCCCCCAGGTGTGCCCAGGTGTATCCAGGTGCCCCCAGGTGTATCCAGGTGTGTCCCAGGTGTGCCCAGGTGTCTCCATGTGTGTCCCAGTGGGTCCAAAGTGTACCCAGGTGTGCCCAGGTGTGCCCAGGTGCCCCCAGGTGTGTCCCAGGTGTCCCCAGCTATGTCCCACGTCCTCCAGGTGTCCCCAGCTGTGTCCCAGTGGGTCCAAACTGTACCCAGGTGTATCCAGGTGTACCCAGGTGTGTCCCACCACCCCCAGGTGCCCCCAGGTGCCCCCAGGTGTACTCAAGTGTTTCCAGGTGTGTCCCAGGTGTATCCAGGTGTCCCCAGGTGTGTCCTCCTGTCCCCAGCTGTGTCCCAGTGGGTCCAAAGTGTAACCAGGTGTGCCCAGGTGTCTCCAGGTGTGCCCAGGTGTGTCCCCAGCTATGTCCCACGTCCTCCAGGTGTCCCCAGGTGTGTCCTCCTGTCCCCAGCTGTGTCCCAGTGGGTCC